CGGCGATTCACTTGGTTTTGTGGATAGTTGCTCCAGGACGATCGATCCTAACCAAGACCTTCCCAGACATCTTGATTTTTTTTAGATCCTTGAGGGATTTCAGTAGGATATCCTTGTAGCGTCGCTTCTGTCGTCATTGTCGGTGAACACCCGTAGCGGCGTTGCAGTAGGGAAACCGATTGGGCAGACGCTCGTCATTCATTCTCGCAAGATGGCCGTTTCAGCGCAATCGGAGTTGCATCAGCGGGACGGAGATGCTGAGGATTTCGGTCCTTTCCAGGATTTTCGTGTCCGGGATCCTCTGCCGCCACCTCAGCTGCGGCAGCTAAAGTGGGAGTGATTGGGTTTCCCAGTCCTGTTGACGTAGACGGTCCATGTGTCCGCCCCATAGAGTAGCGTCATCAGGACTGCTGCTCTGAAAATCTTCGGCTTCCTGTTGAAGCGAAGTGCGTGTGGCTTCCATACGGAGATCTTTAGCCGGCCGAAAGCCAACTGATTTTTTTGATTCGCTACGTTACTTTGCCGTCGACCGCGATGTTGGTTGAAATGACAGTGCCTATATAGGCGAATTTTTCAGCGCTGACGCTGTTTGGTATATGACCCAAAGTTCTCTCTGTGCTGTTGTGCAGTCCGAGGTTAATGCAGCTGGTGACGATGAGTTTCATGATTCTTTGCATGGGTGCTTCTGTCAGGGTAGTGAGTACAGAGTCGTCTGTGAAAGGAGTTCATAGAGAGTAGTGGTTGAAGTCTGCGTTGAAGCCGGTTACCGATCCTGTACATGATGTTTATTCGAGAAAGTTCATTCCGGTAAACGTCCAGCAGCATGGTTGAGAGCATGGGACTGATGGAGGTGGTTGACAGTATGCAGCCCTGGTCCATTTTTTTTACTGTAACTGGTACTGATCCTACCCCACTGTCGTCTCTTGCGCCACCATTCCTTCGCAAACCTTACGCACTCTGTACACAGATCGCCCATGACAATCTGATTTCCGTATGATGTTCCAGGGACCATTGTGGTCCATCATGTTCTGGTCTTTCTTCTGTTCCACAAAGGCCCTGTATTGATACGTATACATTTAACAGAGTGTGTCCTGCAGTTACCGAATCGCGAAAATTAGGTTAGTTTTCCCACGGTGGCCTCGGTTGTCACACTGACCTTCCAAGTGAAGCTTATTTTTCAGATGTCCATTAAGACGACTGAGAAGGATGCGATCGACCATCTCCACGGCAACCTTGATCAGCAAGTTTCATCTCGGATTACTGGAGACTTGCCGCTTCTTCTTTCGTCAGTGGAGTGGGCGACTATTATGTACTTGAAATCCCGAGGGACTGATCCTTACGTCCACCTCTCTGTGCGTTATGGAGAGCGCAACCGTTGTGGAGTCACGGTCAATGGCGAAACGTAGACTCGACCATGGGTGTCAGTACACAGCCCTGCTTCATGCATTTGTTATTACGAGTTATTTTGTATTCGGGACGATGGCTGTTTATTCAACCATTTTGACGGCTATTCGTATATCTGCGTGGTATGGTCAATTTACAGATATCGTGATTTCTTCGCATTTGTTTATGTCACCTTTTCAGGCTCCCTTATTTTCGAGGGGTTAAGCAGTTTTGTCCCTAAAGAAAGCAGCTTTCACATCCCGGGCGGCTACCGAATTTAACTATGTGTCACGACTTTGTTTTTTGGGAGGACGATATGATTTATTGTGGGTCGGCTGCGGGATTGCATGCCAGTCACTGCCTATGATTTTTTTTTAAATTGGAGGGAGGTAGCGGGACGGAATATGAGGACAAGATTACCAGGTGTGGGGACGCACCACAGAATCCCCAAATATGGTTTGACCAGCCAATGGAGTCGGTTACCGGGGCGGGGCAAGTGGGCAGAGTCAAGCATCGGGGAGCCACAGATGAGAGTCTGGTTTCAGCTAAATCGCGTGCGGAATGACCTGCCGTCCTTACACGGGATACCGTCTAACTTGTCATCCCCACAGCTCGCACGCAATCTAAGGATTCTTCTGACTTGCTCATGGGAACCAAAATTTTTTATTCGTAGTTTATGGTGTTGCTTATTCGGCTTTAATTGCTATATAGGAAAATTACAGCGTACCTTCGAGGCTGAAGCCTTCTTGGGAAAACCGATAATTTAAAACACTTTCAGGCATTATTTACGTATGTAGATGTATCATTACGTTTATGTGACGTTGCTCAGGATGCTTGGAATAATCGGATTAAATTTGGAAACACAAGTCTTACGTGCATAAACACTTCCATTCCTAAATACCACTCAACCTGTTGTCCACATAATGATAAATAATCCCGGACGAAACACAAGACCACACTACTGTCGTGAGGGTGCATTTGTTGTTCGCCTTGCTGATACCATGTGCATTACTACACATTTTTGACGCTGAATTTCGTGCACCATTTCTCGTTCCATGCGTGCAAATTCTCTACCTCCTCTTGTGGTATCTTGACGTCCTCTTCATCTTTTGTCGCCCTCCACAATTTATGATGATCTGCAAAGAGCGCTTTGACCGATTTTACTCCATGTACAAGATCATTTACAGAGATAATGAATAGGAACGGCCCAAGAACTGACCCTTGTGGGACTCCACTTTTAACAGACGCCAATTCTGATCTGTAGCCACCTACAGTGACTTCTTGTCTACGACCGTTTAATAAATCTTGAATCCAGTTCATAAGATTTTTTCTCATCTCTACTGACAACTTTTGAACGAGACGCTTATATGGAAGGTAATTAAACGCCTTGCTGAAGTCAAAGAAAATGACCTCTACTGGATGTCTTTCATCCATGACCTTTGACCAATGTTCGAGCGACGTAAGCAGGTTTGTGAGGCAGGACCTCTTCAGAGAAGCCATTTTGAACTGAACTGATGTGACAGCGGAATGTATCGAGCGATATAGCAGAACTTATTGACTCCGAAACCATCGCGATTGTTTTTTACTTGCTTTCGGACGCTGTGTAGCATAAGGGATGAGGAATTACTACACTGGAATTCGAAATCGATTGGTGTACCAATATGAAAATGGCAGGCACGCAGCAAAAAACAGACTAACTGGTAAACCCTCGTAGAGACGATGCAGAAACGACTGTCCATACCAAAAGGCCGGGCACAAATCATGTTTGTGCTCTGTGATACAGTCTAAATTCTCGTAGCGCACTGTTCGACCTGCTCGCACCCGAGCAGGGATCCGAAGATCAGGTCTAACTTGCGTCCATTATCAAAAGGAGTTTAATGACAGGGGAACGGGGGACTTTGTACCGGAAGTACTCAACTAAACTCGCTGGCAGCTACGCCTGCTTCCTAGCAACATGTCCGACAGTTCGGTCCCGACGATGTCCACCGTGTGCTAAACAACAAGGTGCAGCAGGCACGGTGACCTACGCGTGAGTTAGTTTGTATTGATAGGAGACTTATGCCGCATCTACCGCACCTACCACGCCCCAACTGGACCCGGTGTCCAGACAAAGTCAAGAGGACCGGAGGCGTGGGAGGGCGCAGGTGGTTGGCGTGGCCGGACCCGCACCTAGGCGTGCCACCACATCCCCTGGTCCACGACAAACATTTGACCAAGATTTTAACCAGCAACGTCCCAACAGGAGTCAGAAGGACGAGGATGACTGGGCAGCCCTACCCACCGCCTGTATACCCAGTGGGAGCGCAAACGCACCTACCGGCAGGGAACTGCCAGCGCATACCAGGCTGCGAGGGCCACAGTTTGCTAATACTGGCATAGGACACGCTTCCAGACCTTTTGACCTTCCGAGCAACAAACATGCAACAAAGTGAACCCGCTGATTCGTAGGCAAGAGCTGACTTGTAACTGACGTAAAAGGCACTTCCGCCGCCTTAGGACGGTAATTGCAGGGCTCTACACTTGGACCGCGTGGAATTCTAAGCCTTTCCAACAGCGCATTACAACCGCAGCTTGGACATGTTGAAAAATAGTCATTATGAAAGGGGGAGGATATTACGACAGGATCTTTCGTAACTGGCTTTCCGCCGATTTTTACCACGGGGAGCAGTACACTCTGGAAGAAATCGGGCGGGACAAGCAGGTCTAGTCGAGGTGCTTTAAGACGGACAAATACCGAGTACAGGGCTTCACTGACGCAGATTTTCCTTGCTTTTTTGAAGTTTGTAGACAAGACTTCACTCAAGTCGTACAGACACGCAATGCCTGAAAAGCAGATATCAGAGAATGCATTTGTTCATAGGGGAGACAGCCTGCCTATGAACAGGGACACCCAGGACGGAGAGTTCGCTGTCCTATCTATTTCCATTGTGATTAAAATTGGGATGCAGGTTATTCATGACAACAGGTGGATCTTCGACCTCGTCGTGGCCATTAACAAGCACAATTATATTCTCGACATCTCTTATCGCTAGGCTGTCTGGCACAATTTTGCCGAAACTCTCTCGGGTGAGTCATAAAAAGGTCGCCAATGATTGCGCCGAGTGGACATACACGGTTTAGGTAAAAAAGTAAGATTTGATCCGTAGGATACTTGGTGGGGTCAAACAGCCAAGCTCCAGAACCAGCAGCCAGCATATAGCTCCGGACTCATTGCAGTCACAAACAGTGTAATTGATCGCCGAAACCAAATATACACCCGCTTATTACACCTAAAATGTCCTTATAACAAGTGATGATTTGCCCATTGGAGGACAAATACAGACGGAGCAAGATTTGCTTCGATGGTTGGAGGATGAATATAAGAACAGAAAATAAGAGACAAAGTGAGCACAAATCAGAGAAAAAATAATGAGAAATGCCGAAAGAAAGCAGTAGTCATGGCGGCCGTACGACAAGTTTCTCAAGTAAATGCACCTCTCTGGAGTAAAATAAAAGTGAAAACTGCAACAGAAAAGGGGAGATTATCGTCGTAGATAGGAAGCCAATCGCACATTGAGATAGTAGAGGGCGTCCGAAATGCGTGATTGTCAGTAACGGGTCATTCCACTTTAGTCGGATCAAATGATTAATTTTGGCGTTGATTTATCTCCTGGCGCGTACACTAAAATGGATTAGAAGAGGTAGTCAGAGAATGTATACTGCAATTTAGACACCTGGCATTACGTGCTACACGTAGTAGTCTTCTCAGCTTCCCATGGAAAATAAGATCTGATAGCAGATGGTAGGGATCACGACCGAGACTTATACATACTTCCCTATCACACCACGCGCAACGGAGTATCAGCGCCAACGAAGAACTCTCTAAGTACACCGACTCCAGCCGGCATGGCCAATAAATGAGTAGAATCCTAAACCCCGTGACAGCAGAAATTGAAATATATTTTTTTCAGCAATACTTCCTCGGTATGAATTTCAAACAGAAAAACAGAAAAAAATTTCTGCCGAAAGTCTTACTGTAGGATGTCATTTGGCAAAGAAAGTGGGCGAGATAATCAAAGAATATACAAAAATTCATATTGACCCAACTGTGAAAAACTCGGCATCTCGGTGGATTATAGGTGAATTACTTAGGAAATCCTGCTTGGGCAGTCAACTTACGGTGTCAGATTTGGTGGACTCCAGACGCTGCAGTAGGTTGGGCGGGTAACTTCGCCCAAATGTGATTAAACTCACAGTTCCCGGTGGGGCCTCGCAGCTCGGGTGGCTAGAGCGTTGGCCGTACTCAAGCCTCCCCTTGCTGTCGTGGGTCGAATCCCACCTAGGTCGCCGAGTTTTTCGCAGTTGGATCAGAATTATTCAAAATCTGCAAAAATACCTATAAATTCAATTTATCCTTCGCCACTTTCGCTGTTGGTTCGCGTCTTTTCAGTCAACTTACGATACGAACGCCCAGTAGTGATGCACTATAGAAGTTTTAGCCCCAAACATATTGGAGGATTGTGACCGTTACGGAGTAATTAGTGTTATTTATTTCTTGCCTTGTGGTCTTCGCAGACGGTTGCGTAGTGACAGATAAGCTAGAAGTCCAGCGAAATTGAAATGGCTACTTCTGGCTTATCGATCGCAGTCGATCATCGGACACTCCCAGTCAAGTTCTCAACCATTTGAGCCATGGAATCCCAGCTGTGAACGTCTGAGCTCGAGCTCAAGTCCCAGACTGTTTAGCTCGGGGATTAAGATATGGCTAGCTGAGAAAGATGGTGTGTTTGACTCTTGTTGATGAACAAACAGGGGTTAGCCGCCGCCTCTACCACGTACAACAAGGTTTTTTGCACGAGTTTCTGATGAGCACCTTTTGAAGGGATTTACCTGCTTGAATGCTGCACTGACATTAGCCTAGGCTAAATGCTGAACCTGGGATACAAGAGAGTCAACACTGATCAGATGAGGCTCGGATATTTCCTCCTGTTGGTCAGCTTATGATTCCATGTTTGCTTGGAGGCTTACCATTGAGAATGTAGTCGGTCAGAAGTGGTGTCAAGTTCGGATTATTAGTCAACATGCAGCGCAGAAAGTCATTGAAGAGCTCCAAGTGGCCAACGGTGGGTCCATCTCCAGTTGCCGACAGGTGGAAGGGGATCCTGGTGCTCAAGAACTAGAGAGAGTGTGAAGAATTAGAAGGCCGTTACTCCCTGCAGCCCACTCGCAATTATCCGCAACACATGACCAAAATCATGCAGCTCACCTTCAGATCTTCCTCACGGCTAGGTCCACGCTTAGCCCGCCTCTTCTTCATAGAACTGGCTATCGAACTGCCGGAGGATTCGTACCAGGGTAGGCGCCTGGGTGAAAGGGTGGACGTGGGTGTGGCCGATGCAGACAGCGATTCTCCATCCCGGTGAGCAGTGGACTGCATGTCGGCCCACTCCGAGTCCTGATATTCAAAAAGGCAGGGCAAATCAATGGTGGAGTTGGAGGTGGTGATCCTCTGCGCAGCACCCGCCACATCCTGACTTCGAATGGGCTGTGTGAGGCGACGGAGGTAGTTAAGAGCGCTGGAAGTGCGTCGCATCAGACGCCCACCGGCAGCCGATAGGCTGCTTGAGCGAGCAGTTTCGATACTGCGGCCCATGCGTCGCCAGCGTAGTCGGACCGCGAGGGCGGCATTGGCCAGTGTGGCCTTTGCGGAGGCCGAGTTTCCGCCTATTTGTGCACAAATAGAAAGGCTAACAGGGGAAGAGGAGGATGGGGCAATAAAATAACTGAGGACGGGTCTTACTTAGGAAGGAGGTCTTCTTAGAGTCGCCACCCGCTTCCTTGGTATCAGCCTTTATCTCAGGACTGACAGACCGGGAGCGCGTGTCGGAACCCTCGATCCGCGAGTGAACTTCAAGCAGAAGAGTGAAGAAGATGTCTTTCAATTCTTGTTCATAATCCAATTCTTCGCGGGTTGCAAGTTCGTGAACCAGACACGCTGAGTAGTAGCGGATGCAGGAGTCGATCTCATCGACTAGGTGATTCAGCTGGGGAATTGACAGCTGATTAAGAACTAGAATTTAGAGTGGATAGACAGACACGGTAATAACAGATAAGAGCTAAGAACTTACAATATGAACAGAAACTCATAAAACATTGATCCCAACTATTATCACGTCAGTAAATTGAAAACATTACTTAAATGATGATGCGAAACCGGCATGCATGCCTCAAGTCTGATGCCTACTGAGTAGATTGTTAACCTTTTACCTATATGGTTGATCTCATTAAAGATGAAATACCCATTTGCCTAAATCGATTTTCGACAATGACGAAAAAATAATAATTAGTTTCCAGTAAGAAATTGACAAGACCCGTTTTACAGAAAACGACGTCAGTTTCAGACCTGAAATTTGAAGGAAGGGAAGATCTCGGTTTGTAAAAAGCCCGCTTGAAAAGGTGCGCAACCAAATATGCCTGGTTTTCTCGATGAAGAACCCCCACACGGGAACAAACTTGAGATTATATTCGGTGCTCGTCAGTATTGCAACCTCACGTCAAACTGGCTGCATAATTATACATTTCAAGCAAGACGTCGTTAATTTTCGGTAGTGTACCTGGTTCTTAGGATGCCTAGGATAGTAAACACAAAGAGGGAACAATGATGGTGACCAGCCGACTGCTTTATGGTTTACAGCCTTCCATTGCAAAGTCTCACAATCTGACTTGAATTAATACACTCTATTAACAGCACGCCTCCTCTGAAACACCCTCTTCATTTGAAGAACCTCAGAAAAAACTCCAAGTGCTGTTACATCTGGCTCCGTTATGCAAGACTGCAGGGATACACTCGACTTTGCCAATGACATTGTGAGACATATGTCTGGCAGACGTCGGTATGGTCCAAACCATCGTCCGCTATAACTTCAAAGGTGTGACAGAATTCAAAAAATATGTTCGATTAGAATTAGGAAGGTAAATAAGAAATTAAGGACAGAACATGATAATCAAAGGTGGATTCGGTTTGGGTGTCTTCTCTGTCGACCGTCTCCTAAATGTCCTGTCTCTGCCTAACTGGAAGCAGCGATAGGTCAGCCCAGAAATTGACTAGGACAGTTCGTGAAGACATAGAGGTGGCTTTCGAACCTACAGCATCCGGTCTTTGTTGTCGAATAATAGAGCAGGTGGGGCGCGCCAGATGTGCAGTCGAGGATGTTACTTATGATAGCATTTATCATGACTAATTTAAGCGGCTTCGTGTCACATGCTTGCCGCGTCACGAATGATAGTTCTCTAAACAAGGTTAAGCCAGTTGGCACATCAGTCTCACGGGTTAAGGGGCTGGAGATGCAGTTAAAGTTCCCTTTGACGACTCTCAATCAGCGGGGATGTCGACAGACGGGGTCGAATTCATAAAATAGATGAAAATCAATTATTGGCAACAGTAACGATCTTCGATAGTTCAGCAGAGACGGGGCATGCTGATGTCACGACCGACAGTGTCAGGAAGCTTACGCCACGCAGCCCGTCATCATATTTAAGGTCGGCTTCAGAACAGCGTCACTCGAATATGTGGGTGCGGTTACTGCTTCCCAAGCTTAGATCAGGTCATGCAACCGGTCAGTTGATAATGTCGAACGACACTTGTGAGTTGCCGTTGGAGGGCAGACCACCTCAGGTGTTTTTTTGTTGCTCAGTTCTGTTAGCACCTTAAGGATCTCCTAGGAGAACGATAGACTGTAGTTGCAAGTGCGTTATTAAAATGGACAGCCGACTGGAACGAGCCTGGCAGGTTCAGATGTCGAGCAAAACGCTTCTATCCCTGGAGCGTTATGGCTGAAACCGACGATACCAGTGGCCTTTTGGTTACGATTACTGAAGCCAAAGAGTCACAGGACTGACTCATCTTTAAAATCAGGTATAAGTCCCTCGCACATGAATTAACCGATACGCGCTCGATATCTCGAACAGTTTTACTTCAGAATTCGGCACGATCGTGTCAAGCAGAGTGTATGGTTTTACAACCCAAGTTCTCGAAGTGTGGACCGCCATTAAAGCGAAAAAACTATGCATTAGCACCCAATCCAACTGTCTTATCCTGCGACAATGCTTGCTGTGGCTGTGTTGTTCGAGCCAGTTGTTTTCGAATAAAGACGCCTACGATGCAGCAGGTACGTGGATCAGTGCAGCGAAGTGGTCAGTGATAATCAGTCGAAAACTGGCAGTAGTGGCAGACCCTTAAGTTAGTCAATATCTTAGTTCTTTGCTGGCCCTGCCTTTTCAACAGCAGGTAGTCTGCGCAGTAGTCAGACCCATTCAAGGCACGATTATGGCCACTTTCGTTGATTGCGTCTACAATAAGCATCGCTCGAGAGTCTAACACTGATTTGGCACGGCTGCATTTGACTTAGTTTTGAGTGTGGTCATCACTAGGTGTTTTCTAGGGTGGTGGAAGTAGGAGTTTGCAGCAACCATGCAGTTTAGTATAGCAAAATTTACAAGTCTTTCAGCACTCGCCCAACGGTCCCCCACCGTGCGCTAGCTAAGAACTCGCCTTGCAGATGCACGGCATCTTCACTTCCGCAGCTGTTAGGAGAACTTGTAGTCTTTTCTGTTATCTACAGACAAAGTGGGTGACATGCACACTAAGTCTGGACGACGCCAATCTTTCGCTGATTGAATTATTCTAGAAGATATTTGTTCTCCTGCCAGGAAGTAATAACCATTCCCTGACGCAAATAAAGTGCTTCAAGGAAAGTTAGTGCAGGAAGTTGCTAAAGTAGACCCAAAATGGACAAATGTAAACATGTCAGCAGTGGAGGCTACCGATTTTCAGACTGTTAGCGCATGGTGAACGGTCAGGCGTAAGTTGACGGTGTAAAAGCAGGAGGCAGGAACAGCAGATTCAGACTGTCCGAGATTCCGTCGTCCGGGAGTTGGTTTTTTGAGACTTGACCGCAAAATGCAGGTGTCAAAAGAGCCTGTTTAATGGATGTTCGTGATTGCCAAATTACGTTGTTGTTACAAAACGCAGTGTAAGTGTACTGTACTGGGTGGGTCAGACCACAACTGTCTGCAGCTTCGCAGTCTTACCATTGGCGATCAATGACTATCTCTGCAACAGAATCGGGAGTCAGTGTGTTTTAGGGCTAGTCTCTACCAAAAGATCTCCCAATATCCATCACTGTCGCGGACCATGTCTTCCAAGAATGCTGAGTTAGAGGTAAAGATCACATTGGGCGATACGCAAATGATGCTAACTCTAATTAGACATACTTCCCGACAAACTTTCTAGTTGAATCATGGACGGTCGAGCGGAAAATTAAACTCTGTCTGACCCTGCACCTGGATATATTAAGGTATAATTAATTTTATTTGAACCCTAGATTGGACTACCCTGCGTTTGACACTGTAGAAACAATGATAGGGGGCGCTCACCGATCATTCATACGGAACTCGTTCCGTTGTGCCTCAAGGACTCTCTCTCGAGCCCAACCAGGAGCCGCAAAGCGGCGCATGATATATCGGCAGAATGGCATTACCGACAAAGACAAGGGAGACTGGAATGGCCATTTCTGGCTTATTAGCCGTCGTCAGCCAGTCATACCGGCTCGGGTGTTCCACACTTCGGGCTTGGGTATGACTGGCTGACGACGGCTAATAATCCAGAAATGGCTATCCCAGTCTCCCTTGTCTTTGTCAGTAATGCCATTCCGCCTATATATCATGCGCCGCTGTGCGGCTGCTGGTTGGGCTCGAGAGAGATCCCTTAAGGCACAACAGCACGAGTGAGTTCCGTATGAACGATCGGTGAGCGCCCCCTACCATTGTATATTCCCGATCGAAAACCGGCAGGGCGACGGGCTCGTGGCGCCGTGGTTAGAGGCGTGGACTTCTAACTAACAGGTCGCGAGTTCGAGCCTCGGGTGTTCCACACTTCGGACTTGGGTATGACTGGCTGACGACGGCTAATAAGCCCACAATGGCCATTCCAGTCTCGTTTGTCTTTGTCGGTAATGCCATTCTGACTGTAGAAACAGCCAGTACGTAAATTAAACACTCAACCAAGTCTCTGGTGGCAGCATGACAACAAAATTGGATATTAAGATGCGCGGTCAGAACTGAAAAATTAGAATTTTAAAATAAAGGGAAGGCAATAAAAGCCGCAAAGTTATGCGATCTTGCACCACCAAGTCCTGAAACCTATTCCAACATATGGGCTTCTGAAATGACAATATAAATGGCCGGTAGGACTTCCTCGAAGATCGATTTTATACATAACCTATTGATTTCGCTCGGCAGTATAACTGGTTATCATTATCCTGATATTCACGTGCCTGTACGAATAACCCCGAAAAGTGTGATTGGAAAAGTGGTTACACAGCAGAGCCAGTGTACTTGGCCACTCCGACAGTGAGTTGTAAAACAACGTAGAGGTAACCCTAAGGCTCATTAAGACCGCTATCAGTCGTAACTATAATATATTCGGCAGTTGTTCTTGGTCTGTTTATAAATCCGAAAGTTCTCTGAAATCCACAAGGCGGCAACCAGTAGTCACAAGCGGAACATACGATTGACTGATGTCAGGGTCGTCCGTGTGTTTAGTAAAACATTTCAATACAACTATATAGGATGCTAAGTGACATAAGTTTTGACGACAACTGTCTGAGGAGGTATTAGAGCTGAGTGAAAATAGAAGAGGCGGAAACATATTAGTGACGATGTCAGCGATGTTCATTTAGGTGGTTGTACCTAGGTGGACATGTATGAAAGTGCATTTTATCGGCATGCGAAACTATAAGCTCACCCTCAACAGGTTTCCATATGTACGAAAACGCCTGATCGTCACAGGTTTGGGATCCGACGAAGTCGAGGTCAAGATCCGGTTCTAAAGCGTCGTCGACCATCATTCGGTCTAGCTCCTCTATAATTTCATCAGCCGTCTGGACATGATCATCTTGCGTATCGGGCAACTGAGATGTAACGATTGAGTGATGGTCAAGTGCCTTAGCCAGTTCATCGTCTTCGGCAGCTTCAATAAGTTCGTTCGAGTCAGCCTAAATGGAAAGTGGCCATAAGCTTATATAACTCACCTCAGCCTTCGGCAGGTGCAATGCCTCAATGAACTTTTTGTAAGTGTATGAGTTTCGGTAGTCGAAAGTCCCGGTGACCAAATCCTTGCTTGTTATCTGGATCCACAGATCATCCTACACAAAATAAAGAACGATGATATGAACTACGTTTATTTTGACCTCAGGAGCAACGGATAACTGTTCCGGCAGACCCATGACGGCAAGTGCACTTCACTGACAGAGAAGAACGCCGTCAGAACCAGGGTGCCTGCTGATTATGAGAATAAACAGACCCCGCAAAGTTATCGAACGCGGGCGCTACCAGTGACTAGAAAAACAACCATGTTCAAGGTTGAACAATGGATAAGTGCTAATTAATTAACAAGTTCCCAATAACTGATCTCCATTCAATGAGAATCTTCGAATGCATTAAAAACAATACCAGCACTGCAATAATCGGCCGTAATCAACTGTGAAAGAAGGGTGGGAAAGGGATGTAGACAAAGCATCTCGAGACAGCATACCAGGGACGAGAACAAAAAATGCTAGGAGAAAATCTATAATCTTCAAAAAAACATACGGGTCGATCGCAATAAACAGCAGGGATGTTTTAAGCCAGAAACTTTCCTTGAGGTAGACTTGATTCATTTACCAAATTTGATAAATGATATCGATTTGAAGGGTCAGACATCCTCCCATTAAATCTCATGAAAGGTGATTAAGAACTAGCGTGTCGTTTAATACACTTCGTCATACGGGCAAGTAAACCTTCCGGGACAAGAATCACATAGTCTAGTTTAGGCCGTTTTTGTAATTCTATTATAGTGGTGTCATATTACGTGCAAGCGGCGGTTACCTGTTGGAATTTACGTGCTTCGAGATAGAAAAATCGTCCTGAAATCCGTCTTATCATGACTGCCACCATCGGCATAATTATGACCACTACCTTATTATGCTAACTGTTGGCGCAGTTACCAGCCCCATTCTCTGAATGCCTGACAAATATATCGCGTGTAATCAAGAAAATCAAAGGACTTGGCTTCTCTGGATGGGCGATACTTTCTATAAATTTTTATGATAAAACATTGGGAACCGTTTACCGGTGGTTCTAAAACACCGCAGTCATTTATTCATTCGCGGTAATATTTGAATTAATGAGACTGTTGCCAGCTAACCGTCACGCGGATTTCCCCTTTCCAGCCAGCGCGCTAGGATCCGCATCATTAACTTAAAAATAAAATGTGAGCAAGGATACTGTCACGGTGCAACTGGATAAACTGACGTTACCTTGTGCCATTGTGTAACAGGGTTCTAAATACCTCAGTTACAGGGATTGTGAAGGAGTTTATGTACAATACTTAAGTATTGCCTCGTGCTCTTAATCTCCGACTATATCGTGGTGGATTCGCCCTCGGAACCTGTCAAGAGATCTGTGAGATTGTTGTGTTAATCATCCTTGCCGAGTTATCTTCCTCAGCATGGGGTTCTGAACAAACGAATTTCTTCTGAAGTTGGCCAGTTGGAACGGCGCTTATGGTTGTTGTGACTATCGAAGTATCCGAGAGTAGCACTATTGAAGTTTCGCAAGTAGAAACCATTTTGAAGAATCTGGCAGCTGGTGTTGAGAATCTACTTTACTGTCGGCTAAATAAACGAATTCTGGTGAACTTAACCTGGACTAACAATACGAAGAAACTATACAATAAAGGCGTTTGAATTGCATTGGGGCTCCCAGGGATGATTAAATGCAGCAGGACCGCCATTACGTCTGATCGGACAAAACTGTCATGACTGATTCGCGTATATCATCATGCCAAATTCATCAAATGAAATTAGTCTCAATTCTCGATCGAGCCTATACTAAAAGTCTAACACAAAGTTCCGACAGCCGTCAGTGCAGATGGGTATTTTTGGATTGAGAGTGAACCGTCCTACTGACTAGTATCATGTGCCAAATATAGGCCTTTTTCGAAAGGGAACCCAATAGAACATCAACGCGGAACGATAAGTCGCACCCGAAGAGCCACATAATTCCTCCACTCCCGCAAATATCGGCTTTTTCGTAAAGGGGTTATTGTATTGACGCTGACCATATTTATGGTCACGGTCAGTTCCCTTAAATTCCTAGGTATGTTCCTAGCGAAAATAACAGGTAATCCGCTTTTTATTCCGGACTTAAGGCAGCAGTTGAATATAACAATAATTCCCATTCTTACGCCAGGTGGCAGGTATCAACAAAAGAAAGTCAACAATAAATAAATGATAAGTAAATTGGTCTATTTAGCACCCATAAAGATGGACTTCGAATATAGGGATTCTGTGCACGAGGAAACATTCCACTTATTATGTCATAGGTCACAAAATTTCGTAGTGTTTCCTTATATTATTATTGACCCGGCGCTCAACTTTGTCAAATATGGTTCGGCCGGCAACGCATTCTCTCTTATACGGATAAGCTTTACCGAATATTGTTGCAGCAATAAAAAGCTCAGAGTTCGTCAACCTCCATTCAAACGTATGATAAGTGAAAACGTTCCATGAATTTTCAGAACCTTTTGGCCACTCAATTAGATCACTGACTGTCGTTTTAAGTTGCTTTTTTCTGTCTACACGGTGGTGAGTCTATGTGCCCGCAACCGTTGTTAGCAGCTACTTATTAATAGCATGGAGCAGTTAGCGTTTGGAGAATCGAGCTAGGGATACATGTGTACAGACAGTGCACATTGTAATTCCGTGAGTATTACTTTCTGTTCCTCTTCGGTAATGCCTTAACAAGTGCAATATCCAACATGTTTCCTGGAACTCATATGAAAATCAATAAGTCTACCTTGTTTCTAAACAACCATGGTCATTCACTAATTCCAGCCTACAAACTGCCGACTACACAATAAATGTGCTGATTTATAAAAACCTTTCCATCATATAAAATAGAAATATTTGGTGTTGGCTACACGCATTTCATTCACTAAAGGTGACTATATGTGTTGTTTTCAACTAAATTCGGAGCTTGCGCTTTGGTTACACAAAAGGCCAACTACTATGCAAAATAGCACAACGTCAAACGGGGCTAGCGAAGAATTCATCCAAAGTCTTTTTATTCCTATTGCACATCTTATACTAAAAACGCATTTTCTTTAAGATCGTGGAGACCAGATGAGAACTATTTTTCAAAAGTCGTTCGATTGGCATGTACTTATTTTCGGGATTTTTCAGGAAGATTTCTATAAAGTAACATATCGGAAGACAGCACACTATAGCTCAGTTTATTGGAAGGTAGTAGGTGCCAACTGGATAGGAAGCACCGGATTTTCTCTTGCGCATGCTTAACAGCTATTTCAAGTATGTTTATAACACACTGTTCTATACCAATAGAAATGAACAGGAATCATGACACTATTTAACCACCTCACAGCGAAGCACTGCGCTCATATATGTGTAAAAGTTTACTGAGTCCTACAATATTATACTATAGTCGTCACTAGAGGTACATGGAAGGCAGCCAATCATAGATCCTAGCAAGTTTCAAATATGTTCTGTAGCGGCCGAAGACGTCGAGGGTAGCGCACACCGAGTCATCAAAGCCTTATTAGTAAACCCTAGCTAAGGCCAATTTGAATAGGCTTGTTAGCGCGTCACCGCACTCATCAATACGAAAGAATAGAAAAAGATTTAAGTGGCCGTAAATGTATGTTTGGAACAAAAAGAAACCGGGTATATATGAAAGTAGCTTTTTGTACAAATACAGTGGATTACAGCGGGGGTGACCTGTCTGGATAAAGAGATGACTCTGGCATACCTTCTGAACAACCGGTGGGGAACGTAGCGGTGTAAGCAACTGAAGGAGATGCCCGTGGGAGGTGTCGACGTAGAGATTGAGGAGAGAGTTGCCACGATCTGCGGGGGAGGAAGTCTGTGGTAAAGAAAAAAGCGCACCGGCTATTTTTCACCGACACACCATCTCCATCCCAGAATCGCTCGCAAAGTGTTTCTTTATCCAAACATCCATATACAGTTCGTGGGGCGGTATACTTCATCACTTTTCAATCGAGCTTACAGGTGATTATTGAGCTAGGTTTCATTACATTAGAACAACATGGAGCGGCAATCAATTGGACCTGGGACTCCGGACATTCTTTTCAGGAATACTCGCCGTCTCCAATAGCTCAGGCTGTCATTATCCTTTGAACAATCGATATCATTAAAACAACAAAACGCAACTATGTTTGTCGTGCGGAAATCCGGCATCCGCGTGTTAGCCACCAATTAGTCAATAAATTCGCTCGTCATTGAGTTCGCGAAGGACGCCTTATGAAGGGGAAACACTGATATCAAACAACAACAAAGGATATTTAGCAGTTAGTGCGATTACTGGGAGCGTCTTTGACAGCAATCGGTGTAAATGAGGAAAGCCGGGGAAATGAACGTGCTTTGAAGCAAAACGTGTGTTTTTACCTTTTCCATTTACCACAGTTTACCATGATGAAGGTTTTACTTATGCAAATTATGGATTTACAGCGCGAGTCAATAATTTTTACGATTGAAACATATATAATAGAATAGCGAAAATTCCCATGGAAGGGTTCAGAAGACCAGTTGGCCAGCATATGTGTGTTTCCGGTAAATGTTCAACAGGCAGGTACAACAAAGGAGACACAGAACGGACAGCTCGACCGTCGCAAGCGCCGACGTCGACCGCATGCCAATAAACGAACGATGAGATTGGACACAATGGCTGATGCGATTTGAGTGCCCGCATCTAAGAATTGTCACCATACGTATGCACGGTGGTAGTCAGGACATCATAGGACCTAGCATCGTCCGAGAAGCACATGTCGTGTGCCAATCGGACCCTCGTTCTGGTTCAGCGCATTTGTAACACAACCCGTTTTGCGATCCAGTAACACTTTCACCAACAAACTGAGTAAAATGCCTCAAGAACTCTGTGTCGACAGGTAGATACCTCATTGCATTACGTAACCCAAGACAAATCATTTCTTTACGTGTGCTGAAGGCCATTAAAGAGGTAGAAGGTGAGTTTAGTCAGACCGACATACTGGAAAGTGGCCTTAATGTTACTAAGGTCAATCGGTCCAAACGGGCCATCGAGATTAACCCAGTAAAGATATAAATCAATGAAAAATGGAAGAATAAGTTTTAAAAAAGTCACAGTGCGATAACCATGAATTATTTATGGCAAAGTAGGTCACTCAATTGTG